GAGAGAGAGAGAACTAAGAATTTAACTATTGTCTATGTTCACCAACTCCATATTCTGTCTTGATAATATGAATTCCCAGTCAATATGAAATGAACTATGTATTAAAACAATGCTATATCGTCCAAAATTTTCATATTTTGTTGCCTCATAAACCATAGCTAGACCCATCGCAAGGTTGCTTCGTACCATGATATCTTTAATCGTTAACTAGTTCAAACATTCAACAAGTACATCTAAGACGAATGACTCATAAAATCCATTATAAACTTCTGAAGTAAAATGAAGTGTTTGTAGGGGTGAATAGTGGCTACTAAGATCGGATTTTTTATGCTTATTCTTCGCTTGATGTGACAAAGCATTATATCCAGAATTCTTTTGGTGATGAAATCTTCAGTGCCGAAGTGTCAGGCTGGCCATTGATTCAGGGCATGCATTATGTTTCTTCTTTCATTTTGGTAACAGACAATATCTTTATTTTCTCCACTTAAAGCTTACATCTAACCTTGACAGACTTATTGTCTTATATACCGAAGGCTGCTAAAAGCCTCAAGGTCTATTGTGCTATAATAAAGCTTCCACTTTGGCTGCTAACAGCCTCAACTTCACCGTTTTCTAGTTGAATTTAAATATGAAATCCATCATCATAGTCCACACACAAATGAGAAAAAGCAACTGATGAACTAAAAGAAGAATTCGGTAAAACCAAATACCATATTAAAATTGGCGAAATCAATTAGCTGTTTGGTGCAGACATTACCTGGCAATCAGGTTGGCCATCTCTTTGTGGGAGTTCCCCACTAAACTGAGTGTTCTGCACCCACCAATTAATAACACATGAATCAGCATCATCCAATGAAAAAAGATCCCTTATTAAAGAAAAGAACAATGGCAAGCAGTGGTCCATTCCAAGGTCGCCCAAGTTGTTGCCACAATAATAATAATAATAAATCTCAAGTTGACAAGACATGAAGCAAACCTATTGAAATATATTGCATCCCATAGCTCTCACCTGCACACCTAGCGCAGGATGATTATATTTGCACTTGCTTCCAAAACCACATTTACCGGTCCTCAAATAGTGAAGGCAGTCTGGTTCGCCGGGCCGATCAGGATATGGGTTCAGCTGCCCGTCAGCTGCCTCTCGGCCGTCCTCAATCTTTAACTGCCACATAGCTTCTGCCATCAAGAAGCCCCAAAACCATTTAATCTCATCTCTACTAATTTCCCCCATTATAAGCCCATAAAAGGTGTATCGAGATCAGTTCTTAGCCTGTTCTACCCGAGGAAAGCGGAAGTAAATTCTACGTATCAAGCTAAAAGAAGCATCAAACACTGCCAAAGGAAGAAGGAAAGATAAAAAGGTGATCGAACAGAAACCGAAACAACCTTCAAGTTTGTGGGGCAACGCATTGGAGGAACTGGAAACAGCATTGTGCCGGGTATCGGGCATCATCGGAACCAAAAACTCTACCAGAAACCCAAACTCTCCCGCAACACACCAACCAAATCCGTCCAGAATCGCAACGTCTCCTCAAATCACCGAATCGATCACCGCCCCCTACACCTCCGATCGGCGATCAGCACGATTCACCGAGCGATTCGGGCCTCCAGCATTCGGGATCAGTCGCAGGCACCAACCATATCCATCGGATGATCGGCTTCGATCCAGCCCCCCTAAACAGCAAGCGGAGAAGCTGAGAAGATCGGCTTTCCGACAAGCTCTTGGATCTCGGTGGATCGATCGAGCGATCGCTCTCTCGGCCTCTTCCGCCTCCCCCTTCTCCTCCTCCTCTCTCTCTCTCTCTCTCTACCCTTTATTTTGTTCTGTTCATTCTTTACCGCAATGCAACACGAGGAGGAGACGATCGAAGCAAGTAGGACGAGGTATTTATTCCCCTTTCATTATATTATGTTATATTATAGTTAATTATTATTTGTCCGTATTGTTATTTCTTCGCGGGTAAGTTTAGTTAGAACCGTTAGCCAATGTTCCTGTTAATTCCATGGTATTAAGCAAGTTAACACCCGTCTCCTCAAGCCTGCTTTGCGATCAGAGGAACAGGTGGGTCCCATACTACCTTCAATAATAATAATCTATGTAGTTGATTAGTCTCTGAAACAGGGTCCCATCACGTCTTCCAATAAAAATGAAGGTACTTTAAACGGGTTTTCGCGAGAGGGTAGAAGAAGATTTGTGCGTACGAACCATTTGGGGGAATGAGCAGATTAATTTTACACGCACTTGTGGTACGCATGAATCTCACGCGCTAAACGTTGGAGAACGAAGACCGTTGGATGAGGGTCCAGAGACGTGGTTTTCTCTGTTGATGGAACGTGTAACGCGGCGCGTGAGTAAGCTTACGGCACGGATCAATTAATAAGGGGATGGGTCGGCACTCTCAGTCCCGCGGGGAGCGAAGCCGTGGCGGAAGCCGTCGGTTACGTCAGCATGTGCGGCTCATGGGCCCTGCCAACCGGACGTCGATCAGCTGTCCGGGGCCGAACAGCAACCGGGCTTCTTTGGACCAGTGATTTGTCGTAGTTTTATTTTTCTTCGACAATTAAAAAATTCCTAATTAGCGTCCCCTTTAAAAAAGTTTTTTTTTTTTTCAAAAGATGATATAAACCCCTATTCATGTCCCATCAATTGTCACCTTTATCACCGACAATATTTACCTCCGTCCCATTACTCTTACCCATATCATTCATCATCTTCTTATCATTTTCATTATCCTCGTTTAGCCCAATGATGATACAATTTTCTCTAATTATTTTTATCATTTTCGTTGTCAATCTTAATGGAGAGGACTATCGACGAGAATAACAATGATAATAGATGAAGAAGGGAAGGGAGACAAGGGCGACGATATTAGACAGAAGCGAATGTAGCTAAGAGTGAATGAGGACAACGAACAAAGAATGGGAGGAGAGAGTCATGTGCAAAGGCGATCAGAGGTTATGATAGGAGCAAAATCATCTTTTAAGAAAAATAACATGCTAATTAAGATTTTTTTTTAATTTTTTTTATAAATATTAAGAGGTAAAAACATGACTCCAGAACCTTACAATGATGTGTCAAAGTTTTTACCAATCAAATTAGCTAATACTTTTAAATATCTAATAATTTATTTTTATTTAAATTGAAACTATAGACCTTTTTAATTCAAAAGATTCTCACTTCCATCCCAGCTAATTATTAGCTCCCATGAGATTTTGAATCAAATGATAAGTCTCAGTTTTATCCATCATGGTAAAGTATTTATAGAAATATGTGTATAATTTGTATAAATAGTGATGTTATCATCCCCTTGTGTTTTAGTAGAGTTGAAACAGCCACTTTGTTTAGACATCCCACCCTGAATCATCAAAATCATCAACAAAATCTTCCATAATCCATTCCTACAATTATTCTCAAGGACAGCAACTTGATGGATGTTGCAATGAGAAATAAAAAAAAAGCTTAATCTTTGATTGGATATTCAGAATCCAAGGATGGTCATCAGTGATCACACTCTACATCAATTCAAATTCTATCTCAAGAAAACTTTAGATGTTCGAAGTCTTCGTGACGCTTCAGATCATGTAAAGTTTTGACTCTTCTACCTTTTATGAGGACATGACAGTGATGTAGCACTTTTGACATTGTTCCAATCAATTTCTGGCCACTTAGTCAATGTGGCAAGATCTATATGTTAAAAAGAAATACATGATTGTCAATGGCTGGTGATGCACATACCATCAGATTTGATGAGAATAATAGAAGACACAAAATACAAGTCTTTCGAGTGAGACAAATTAAGAAAACTTATTCATTTGTCCATTAAAAAAAATTAGTTATATTAGCTCTTGACTGATTCTGGTGGGAAAGAATGAGCTAAGAATGCTACTGATATAAATTAGTAGTTTATTATAATTATCTCAACCATGTGATCTAAATTATTGTAACTTAAGTTGTAAGTAATGAATTATCTATTAGATTATGTGGTTTTATCAATTAAGTAAGATATATTATAAATCTAATTGAATTATGATGTTGGTTTTGGAGAAACCATCTATTCTGGTACATAAATAGATAGAACCTCTTAGGGACTCAATATAAATATATGACATTATCAAAGGATTACTGATATTCTCTTATCTCCCTTTAGTCACTTGAGCTAGTCATTGAAAGATTACATATCTTTTTTTCTCTCATTATCTCTAATCCATTGCTTAGGTTTTGTTTTTCTTATATATCGACATCACTATCACATTCGGATTCGACGACAGTGCCCCTATATATTAGACAAAGGCTTTCGGATGACATCAAAATATACGCATTATAAATTTGATCTATTGTTATTTGATCTCAATATTTTTCGTATAATAATAGCATATTATAGTTTTTATACTTATAATTAGTATTAGAGTCATATTTTTTAAACCAAATACCCTAGATCTGTTTATTAGCATTATTTGCTTGCAAAAAGGTGTTATTTGATTTTGATTTATGATGCTTGAATGATCCATGCATACTATCAATTTGCCTTTCTATCTAGTCAGTCATGTCACCTACTTGTACATGATGCAAGGTTCCTCATATTTGATCGATGGACCATTATCGATAACTTTATATCGACGATAGTATTATTGAGGGCGGTGACCTTTGATGGTCGCCAGCCCAGTCACGAGTAGTGGCTGCATACGCAGTAAAAGCACAATGTGGTATGGCAACCTTGCAGCGCCTATGGTAACTATAGCACTACTGCTACCTATGACGACTACGATGACTACAATAATGTCGTCGCATAATAATGTCATTGCAATGGCATATGTTGGTCGTGATCGATGTCATTGGACGTCGAACACCAATGGCTACACCAGGTGATGTGTGTGCACAGCCACACCATGACAATTGTGGGGGTCGTCGGGTGATGCATGTGCACGACCACACGTGGGCACAATAGCACAACACCACACAAGCGATAATACTATCAAATTGTAGGTGATAGTAGAGGCGCACAATCGAAGTTGTGATTTTAATTTTTAAATTATGATTTCACTCTTATAAATCTTATTAATGCCAATTTATATTGTATATTATATGAAAATTATAGTTTTGCCCTTCAAAAACTCTATAATTATATTGTATATCCTATAAAAATTATAGATTTATCGCTAAGAAATTAAGAATTTATCCTCAATTATAAAATTAACTAATATGTTTTATTTTTAATCAAATATTTTGTTTGGATCTGATCATAATTGTATTTTGACTATTTGATATTGAAAAATCTAGGGGCGACATCACATCAATAACGGAAGAACAAAAAGAAAAAAAATTAGATTTCTAAAAAAAGGTTTCATCGTCGTACGAAGATTAGTACATAAAAACTACAAAATCGAAAACTAATTATATAAGAAAGATGTGTTTTACCTAGGGAGATCGTATATCCCTAAAATTCTACAGATTTGTAGGAGAGGATGAAGGAAGTCAACTGTCCTCCTCTCTAGCGGTGATGCACGGCTGCAGAAACTCTCCTTAAATCATTATCCAAATCTCCATATGCCCCAAATAGGGGCTGCTAGCTAAGGAGGAGGAGAGAGGAGAATAGGAGATGACAACCAAAAGGGGTCTAGCCTATGGCTCTTTGGTTCCCTCTTATTTATAAAGATCCCATGTCAACTTAACCCTAATAGATTTTATCATATTGGATTCTGGATCTTCATCCAATTATCCAAGCCTCTTAGATTGTAGGTCTCTACCCAATAATTTCTCGTTGGCTCTTGTTTGATCTCATTCATAGAATCTAATAATTTAGGGGCTTATTAGATATCTAATAAAATAAGGGCTTCAATAGATATTTCATATCCAAACCTCTACTCGTTGCAATACCTACCATATGTGTGTAACCTTCTATGCCCAATATCGAGTTGGTCATGAGTCATACCTATCAGAACTCCTTCCAGCTTAGTGAATTATTATCTTCATAATAATTCACTCAACTCATCGACTATGGATGTATTAGGCCACTATGCCGTAGTCCTCAGATGATACAAGGGATTCTAATCCATTGGGTATGTCTATCCTCAGTTACTATATACCTATAGTCTCTTATCCATCTAATATCCCAAAGACCGTATACCGGGCATGGTTCTGTCAGACCCATATGGTTTCTACTCGAGTCTCGTTCTAATCGGATTCTCCTAGAGAACTCTTAATTGCCCTCGTAACATATAAGAAATTTCTCTTATAATACCGAAAGTAGATGATCCTCTATCGACACTTAATTGCCCTCGTAACATTGGCTGCTACTCTCGATGACCGGTTGTTCTAGATTTGGAACTTTGAGACCTATAAATCCAGTGTCAAAGAGTAGAGTACTCATACAAGACATCCTTGGTGTCTCAAGTCTAAGGATTAGATACACCATTGGGATGACGGAATCACTGTTTGACAATGAGGCATCATCAACCATCTAGCATTCCGTAAGCGGATTAATTAGTGAACTCATTCTCCAATGAGAACATGCACTGTGTTTCTAGTGTTCCCACACGAGCAGGTATGACACTAGCCGCCTCCATCATATGGACGAGTATACAACACACTAGTTTGTCCGATTATCTTGATGTCCCTCTCCAGTAACATATGATTGAGATTATTTAGGGTCTATGTTTAAAGATGAATCAGTCTCATTATTATGATCTTATCATGATCCGATTCTTATTGCACAGATCTATAGACATCATAATACATGCAACAAGCAATATAAAGTGAAAAAATATCAAATAAATAATAAGTAAAAAGAGTGAGTATCGTGTTATACATGTCATTACTCACGTAATTGGCTTGCAAGATACTTATGACTA